AACAAGCCTTCTCAATTGCTAGACAAATGATTACACTGACAAGAAATAGGCCGAATGGTGAAGTAGCAAGGCAGTTTTATACTTGAAGAGTTGGATTAAAAAAAAAATATGTAATTAATTAATACTGATTCAATAGAAAATAAAAATAATATATTTTTTATCTTGTATTCTATATAATAATTACAGTATAAATAAATATTTTTTTTTTTTATTTTTTATTTTTAAACCGATGTCACGGTGCTAACGCTTTATTGTGTTTTTCAAGTATAAATAAATATGTATTATATTTGTTAAAAGATTGTTAAATACAAGATCTTAAAAAACTTCAAAAGTAGAACTACTTACAAATTTCTAGAGATCAGAGATGCCTTTAAAAAAAATATTTGAAATTCATGTTTGCTGCCAAAGCTTAATTGAGATTTAAACCTAATTTTAAAATAAATTTGACGATTGGGTTAAATCTTAATTAGTATTGTAGCAAACTACAGAACTAGTGTTATCATTGTTAATATTAATGTAAAAATTAACCATTTACAGCTTGTGCTACAAATGACCATTGAGAAACCGAGGACAGGACTGGACTAGATCATTACCATTATGTAATCAGTCCTGCTAAGGACCGGACTGAACCGGACTAGTGCATCTCTAATATAAGTATAAAAAAATATATATAAGAATTTATATTATAACCATTTAATTTTTTGTAATTATAGGGTACAAATAATCTAAAACATGTATAAAAAAAATTTTGGGGTATTGGGGTAGTAGAGATTAGCTAAAAGGGATTATTATATAAGTGATAGACTTTGTGTAATAATTAATAGGTTGTGTAAAATTGGTTATCAAAATGAGAAATATAAAAGGAAAATTAATATTTCTATTATATAAGGTTAATTTAGATAAATTTGGAAGTAGCTAAATGTTATACAAGAATCATGTATAGTGAAAAGAACAAATGAAAGACAAAAATAGTTATAAAAAGTAAGTTAAAAAGAGTTAAGATGTTTTAAAATATAACTTGATGAGTTTTAATGCTATAGAGAAAAGTGTGTAGAACAAACTTTACTAATTTATGAAAAGAGGATTAGAATAAGAGTAATTAGAAAATAGCCAAAGTTTAAGTTTTTAGCCTTAAAGGCCTTTTTTGAAGTTTACTCTACGAATATAAAAGCTAATAACTTAAGATTTGAGTAGTATATGTATTTTGAAGTAACAGACAACTTTTGTTAATATAACAAATTAGGTTAGGCTATATAAAATTAGTTTTTGGTTCTCATAACATAAAATTTTAAAAATGACTTGGCAACCTAGCTTTTAATTTTATTTTTAAAAATTTTATATATAAAAAATATATAAAATTTTTTATCAAAATTAATTTTTTTTTTAATATTAAGGTGACCACTTAGATCTCTCGACACGTAGCTGTATTCAGATAATCACAATATTATATTAATTTCACGAGGATACAACTAGCTACACGTGTACTTTTAATACCTAATTTAAGTGGTCCGCCTGGGTTCTACACTAGCCGCCATACCTGCAACCTAACTAGGAGATTATCTATTTAAGCTCTCTGATTATTAACTAACGAGAGTACGACTAGCCATACATGCAACTTTTGGTTACCTATTTAAGTAGTCTGCCCTAGGTTCCACACTAGCTGCCATACCTGCACCCAACTATGGGGAATATCCATTTAAATCTCTGGCTTCATTTCTGTAATATTTATCAAAATTTTAAAAATTTTACCCGGATAATAAATATAGTAAAAAATTTTTTTTAAATTTTGTTGAATTTGACCCGGCTGGATTATGAAAATAATTAATTAAGTTTGTATGGCCTTAACTTAGTAAAATTTTAAGAAATATGTATTTTTTGTTAGGCAAATTTGAAGTAAATTTTTGTATTAGGGATTTGTAGAAAGAGTTTGCTATGGCCTAATATTTATAGAGATAGCTTAATTGATAATCCTTAACTGAACTAAAGAAATATTTTATATAACGTTAACCAAAATGCTTTCTAAAATAGCAGGATTTTTTACTAAGTTAATAGCACATATATATTAAGTAAAAGTTGTAAAGCTCTTTGAAGCGCACCTAATGGTAGTTAAATCATTAAAATTGGTCTGGTAGTTGTTGAAATATTGTTAAAAACAAAATTTAACTATAGGGTTTGTTTACATAAAATTTTATATAGTTAGCAAATAGTTTTTAGCAATATCTCAGCAACTATTAGACCAATTTTAATGATTTAACTACTATTAGGTGCATCCCAATGAGCTCTACAACTTTTAATTATTTTACATAAGCTGTTAACTTAGTAAGAAAAAATGTTTACCTTGGATGAACAGCAGATTTACGATTTCATAGTAAATTTCAGTATAATATAAAAATTTACTATAAAATTGCGAATCTGCCATTTATCCAAGGTAAACATTTTTTTTACTAAGTTAATAGCTTATATAAAATAATTGAAAGTTGTAGAGCTCATTGAGACGTATCTAACGATAGTTAAATCATTAAAATTGGTCAAATAGTTGTCGAGATATCGCTAAAAAACTATTGGCTAACTATATAAAATTTTATGTAAACAAACCCTATAGTTAAAATTTGTTTTTAACAATATCTTAACAACCACCAGACCAATTTTAATGATTTAACTACCATTAGGTGCGTCTTGAAGAGCTCTACACTTTTACTTAATTTATATGAGCTATTAACTTAGTAAAAAATCCTGCTATTTCAGAAAACATTTTAGTTAATATTATACGAAATTTTCTTCAATTCAGTCAAGAATCATCAATTAATTATAATATTTGTACATTTTTTGAATTTTAAAAATGTAAATATTTGCAAAATTTATTAAGTAAATTTATAAACTTTTAATAATAAATAGGGTTTAGCAGATTATTTCAGTCATAATAGTAGTTAAATCATCATAATTAGCCTAATATTTATAGAGATAGTTTAATTATAATATTTGTACATTTTTTGAATTTTAAAAAATATAAATATTTATGAAACTTATTAAGTAAATTTATAAACTTTTAATAATAAGCAGGGTTTAGCAGATTATTTTGGTCATAATGGTAGTTAAATCATCATAATTGGTCTAATATTTATAGAGATAGCTTAATTATAATATTTGTATATTTTTTGAATTTTAAAAAATGTGAATAGTTGTAAAATTTATTAAGTAAATTCATAAACTTTTAATAATAAACTGGGTTTAGCAGATTATTTTGGTTATAATAGTAGTTAAATTATCAAAATTGGCCTAATATTTACAGAGATATCTTAATTATAATATTTGTGCATTGTTTTGAATTTTGTACAATATTTCAAATATTATACAATAATATGCAATAATTCAAAATATTGTACAAATATTATAATTAAGCTATCTTTGTAAATATTGGGCCAATTTTAATGATTTAGCTACCAGTATGACTGAAATAATCAGCTGAACCCTTTTTTATTGCAAGTTTGCAAATTTACTTAATAAATTTCGCAACTATTCATATTTTTTTAAAATTCGAAAAATATATAAATATTATAATTAAGCTATTTCTATAAATATTAGGCCAATTTTGATAATTTAACTACTATTATAACCAAAATAATCTTTTAAATCCTATTTTTATTGCAAGTTTGCAAATTTACTAAATTTCGCAACTATTCGTATTTTTTTAAAATTTAAAAAATATATAAATATTGTAATTAAGCTATCTTTATAAATATTAAGCCAATTTTGATGATTTAACTACTATTATGATCGAAATAATCTGTTAAACCTATTTTTATTGCAAGTTTGCAAATTTACTTAATAAATTTCGCAACTATTCACATTTTTTTAAAATTTAAAAAATGTATAAATATTATAATTAAGCTATCTTTGTAAATATTGGGCCAATTTTGATGATTTAACTACTATTATGACCAAAATAATCTGCTGAACTCTATTTTTATTGCAAGTTTGCAAATTTACTTAATAAATTTTGCAACTATTTGCATTTTTTAAAATTTAAAATATTACACAAATATTGCAATTCATGTACAATATTATAGTTTTAAAAATTTGCTAATATATTAGCAAATATTAGATTAATTTTGATAATTTAATCACTACTATAACCAGAATAACTTGCTAAATATCATTTGTTATCACAAAGTTGTAAATTTTCTTAATATGTTTTGAACATATTTGCATTTTTTAAAATTATTCACAATATTGCACATTATTTGTAATTTTTGTACAAGCTGAATTAGAAGATCATAACCTTGATTATACTATATATATATTAAACTAAAATTTTTAAAACATTTCAATAATATATAAAACATATATTATAAGATTTGATCTGATCTTTGTTTATTTTTATTTTTTTAACAAAATCTTTGTTTATAATTAGATCTTTTTTATTTTTATTTTTTTTTTAGTTTTGCTTTGTTTTTCTTTTTTTTATATTAGCATTTTACAAAAACAATAACTTTAACTTCTTTGGTACTTTTCAAAAAAACTAACAACTTTTTAGCGCTTTGTACAAGTTTTCTAATGTTTTTAATACTTTGCAAAAATAATACTTTTTCTTTAGCAGTTTTGTTTTTTTTTTATTATTTACTTTATACTAGTACTTTGTGAAAAAAATTAACTGGCTTTTTTGACTCATTGCAAGCAAATCTAAACTTTTTCAGTATTTAGCAAAACTCATTATCAAATTCTAAAGTTGCAAGAATATAAACTCTTACTTTAGCAAATAGAGATTTGAAGTTTATTTATTTTTTTATTTTGCTTACATTTTGTTTCTTTTTTACTTATTTCTTTAATTTTATTTTATTTGGTCTAGCACATTGTGAAAACCTTTGATGATTTTTAAATTTACAAGAAAAATAAAGATTTGGGGCTTTATTTATTTTTTTTGTTTATTATTTTTTTATTTATTATTCTGCAACTCCTATAATCGACTAAGTGGGCAGCCGTTGGAAGCCATCAATAAAACCATGTTCACAAACTTGACAATCAAGGCAACATTACAAGAGACTGCCTTGGACTATAAAAGCAAAATGAATCCGGGTGAACAGGTGATAAACCTCCTAGGCAATAGCACTGACAATCTTCATAGCCTGGTCTACTAAAGTGATCTGCATTCCATAATACAAGAAGATAGAAATAAGGTGTTGTATTCCAGGCAATTATTGAAAAAAAAAAGAAGAAATAACCACAATCCGTCATCATACAAGCAGCGCAAATCAAAAAAAGAAGAAGAAAAAAAAAAAAAAAAATCAGAATTAAAAAAAAACTAACAAACAAAACAAATGAACCTCCATCCCTTATTATTAGTCTAGAAGACAATGATTAACATCTGGCGGGCACCTTAGAACACATACAGTTCAAAGATCCAGCCTATCAATCAAGCGCAAGAAAGATTATTTTTTCACCAGGGCCAATGGATCCCGGGCAACCAAACATCACTTATCAGCAGGCTCACATCACGAAGAACATCACCTGCTACAGTTCTGGAGCCGGAGAAACAACCAAGCTTGCATCGTCAGGCCCAATTATACTGGTCCAAAGGAATTAGAATATGGAACTCAGAGTCCCACAAGTAGCCCGTCCAGCCAAACTAGCAGCAACATTAAGAAAGTATACTGTAATTAGCTGCCCTCACATTAACACACTATTGGCACCTTCGAGCACCCAATTACACATGACATACTAATACTGCAATAGGAATTACTTCTGCTCAGAATGACAAGAAACTGAAACCCGTTAATAGTCTCAAGCAAATATGAGCAATATGAAACAGTCAAAAATAAATAAATAAGCAATAATAGAGCAAAAACCAACAACGTAAGCATTCACATCCTTCAACGAGGTGTCAAATAACTATACACAAACGACTCTACCAAGCAAACCAACCAATAAGGTCTAACCAAACAACTAATATATTGACAACACAAACGCATAGACACTCGTCATGCACCACTCCATTAAATGCATAGGCCAATGGCAAAATCAGGACATCTGAATTTTTGGAAAACTCTCCTGATTCTGCCATTTTACTATTTAACGGCCGGACTGCTTCGAGCAGGCGGGAAACCACCGGCTTATGCTGCTTTTCATTCGTTCTACTGTTACGATGATACCTGGGCGCAATGTCACTTGATAATTTTCCGGGAGCATATCATCGTTTCAGATCAAATTACTAAGCTCAAATTACTCAGTTCAAATTACTCACAATATATTCTGCGGACTTAAAGTCCTTTAATTGAATTTATTTCCGGCACCTTTGGCGTGCCGGCATTCTTCCAATCACATGACCAATCGTACTTATGGTTTTCGAAAAATTTAGAGAACATTATAGGTTGAATAAATGATCTCAAAAGCAATGCTCACACTATTAAAAACTCTTTGTAACCCCTTATACAAAATCTACCAAAAACATGTTCGCAAAAATCGGGAATATATTTTCCATTACCATTAAAAAAATCAAAATTTATGATTATGAATTACTGAAATAAATATATTATTTGATGTACGTAAAAATAAGAATATATAGCGATAAATAAATTTTTTACAAATCTATTTATGCGAACATTCATTCAAAGTCATTTACTATGTTCTAGATAATAATGATTTTTATTATATAGAGTTAATTGCTTTAATATGTAACACTACTTATACTGTATTTAAACAATTATTAATTGGTAAAAAAAGATTTTTTAAACAATTATTAATTGGGAAAAATTTTTTTTAACCAGTTTTATCGTCTTTTAGCGTTAATTTACTCCAAAATTCTTCTATCCCAATACTAATATCTCTAATAACTTTTTGAAATGGATTAATATCAACAACTTTACCATCAGGTGTTAATCCTAAATGGTTTAGTAAATCATTGCTCATAATTCCTTGAGGATCAAATTTTTGAATTTGCTTAATAAACAAAGAAACAGGCTTTGCGCCATAAGCATTTAAAAGATACTGGTGATCAAGTATAGATGAAAAATATTGACCCCAATGACATCTTGCATTAAATTTTAGTGCCGTTTGAAGTAATGCATCATAAGTCTTTTTGTAATAAACAATATGTGGTTCCTTTATTTAAAAAAATCAATGTACATATATTATAATTTGCAAAAATGCATACAATTTTAATAATTAATGATAATAATGATAATACTTACATAAAGTAAAATTGGCATTTCAAGGTAAGCTCTAGGTTCATTGTCAGCATTATATGCCATAGAAAAATACTGAGAGGATGCAGCAGAAAATCTCAGAGAAGCCGGACCATTAATGTTTAAATTGTCTTCTTCTCTAATCTTTTTAAGTGTTTGAAGAATCGCATCGATAGCAGCAATGTGATTATCATTTTTCATTGAAAATGAAAACTCTACTGCTATTACTTTAAAATCATTGACTAATCCTATTATATGAAAATATAACAATAAACTCCACATGAATTTTATAGACAAAAAATGAATTGTAATAATTATTAATAATAAGAAACATTATTTTGTTGAGAAGACGTACCAACTGGATAAATATTATCATAAGTATCAACAATAGGATCTTTATGATATTGAGTTCTCTCAGCAATCTCAATCATAGATGGAACGGTAGCTGGAAACAAGTTTAGCAGCAAAAACAAAGCACCACCCACACTAACATTTAAAATTTTAGAAATTCCTTGTACTATAGGCAATTCCATAAATTCTTGAAACAACATATTAATTTCGGATTTAGGATAATTCTTCTTGTCTTCTTGAGTTGCTATATTTCTTTTTGTTATTAAAGCATAATCAGTGTACGGACTAATCCAAACTTCACAATTATGATATTGGAGATAAGGATTGGAAGAATAAGGTTTTTGTTTTAGAATAGATTTGGCATGATTCCAGGTGGTTTCTTCTCTAATCTGAATTATAGAATAGAGAGAAATTGAGTATATTGTTATTTCATAAGTTATTCCAAGTGCACCAATGTGCACTATGCTAGCGTTAAAAGTTTCGTCATCTTGAATTAGACTGATGTTAGGGAATTTAAAACGGAATTTGAGTGGATCAGTTATCCCTTTGGATGGTTCAATTCGATAAAGTTTCCCACCTATAGTTAAAAGAGAATGATAGTAATTCAAAAAAATTCAAATAATTTAATATATACAGCATATTATTATAAATAATTACCAGGAGCAATTATGTTGACTGATACGATAAATGAATGCAATGGTGGGAGTGTGATACCACTACCATGAGTAGATGTCGCATTAGCACTATAGGCAAAATAACAATAAATCAAATTAATAAACTCCAATCAAAACAAACAAAACTTTAGGCATAAATAAAAATACCTCACGATACATTGGCCTTAAAGAAAGTTATGAGATAAGTAATAATAAATTTTAATAAAGCACATGTAAGGAAAGATAAACAAACCTCCCCAACCATCTAAATTGAACAAAGCTCTATTATCTTTTTTTAATTCTTTAACAACATCTTTAATGGTATTTCCACATTTCACATCATAATAAACAATATCATCTTTTTCGGCTTGAGCTTTAATATTTTCTCTTAATATATCCAAAGAGGTTTTTGAAATTCCAGTATATTTGTTTGTTTGTAAAAGGTAACCATTTGTTTCTGTAATTCCACTAACAAAGATTCCAAATTTATTAGTTTAAGAACAAATGAATAAATAAATTGATTGAGACTACCTGAATGCGGCAAAGGATCCGACAGCCTTAACACGTTTCTCCTCCTTAACTGAAGCTTTCATGATTTCAGCAAGTCGATCAAATGACGTAATATCTTCAATGTCGGCTTTGAACTTGATATTTCCGCCTTGATTTGTTGCCACCTCTAACAAAAAAAAAAAAAAAAAAAAAAAGAAGACAAAAATAAGACGTCAATGTGATATTTTATTATGATTATATAAATTGGGGTCTTTGCCTTGAAAATGACCTTACGGTACATGATACCGTAAGGTCATTTTCAAGGCAAAGACCCCAACTAACTACCCATGTACTGTACATGGATCAAGCAGGGATGGTAGAAACCATGTTTTTAGTATTCTATTTATATTTACATATGGATACGAAAACTGTCATCTGGGATTTTAATTTCGTTCTGGATTTCTGGACTTATTCATTAAAACTGATCAGCGACGTAATATAGCTATATATAATACATACTGATATGATGGATTTTTCAATAGCGAGTTCTGAAATATAATTGAAAGCCCGATGACAAGTTTTTCTTTGATTGTACTCAGTAATAATAAATATCCGGAGCAATGTAGAACAATTGTTCGCGATTGGACACGTAAAATTGTACTTATAGGACTATTGGACATATAAAGTTTTATATGTCGACATATGGGGTGAGTCAATAGAAACGCACCAGATTTTTTCTAAGTAAATTTTTTTAAAACTTTGAACAAAAATAACTTAATAATAATTTAATCAAATTTAGTAAAAATTTTTTTAAAATAATTCTAATAACTTATAGAAATTATTTAAAAAAAATTTACTAGATTTGATCAAGTTTTGTTGAGTTATATTTGTTTATTAAAATTTAAAAAAATTTCATTAAAAAAGATTTGGTGGTTTTCTATTGACTCACCCCCATATGTCCAATGCCAACACTAATAATTTTAAAGCTGTTGTAAACATATTCAACTCAATATACTGTTAAACCCATTGTCTGAAGCAATTTTAGATTATATCATTGATAATTTTCTACCATATTTATAAATAAGTTTCGAGCATCATAAAAATCGACATTGTTCTTTTCGATTTAGTTGAATCAACGATCTTTGTATTTTTTTTTTTTTTTGAGTCTTGAAAGTCCGTGCATACAACATAGATAGCCACCTTATGTTGGTTGTATTTTGTGAGACTTATATATCGATGAAATGAATAATTAAGTTGAAGTGACTACCATCACTGAACTTACGGGACTCAAAAATTACGGTCATCAATTCAAATAAATCGAAAAGAGCAGATAAAATTTACTATTGGTTCGGTAAAAATTATAACCGTAAAATGCTGGACTGATGTATCTGGTATTTACAAAAACTTTGAGATGTACCCAGTGGTTCTTTTTTTTTCAAATTTTTCAAATGTTAATATTTTACACTAACTGAGCAATCTCCAAAGCATAAAATACGTATATAGTATCCAGACATAATCCGTTTAATCCCAAGAATTACCATTGGGTACGAATCATAGGGGATCTACTAGTCAGCACTTTCGGTAAAAGAACGCTAAAAACTTATGTCAACGTATCAAGAAAATTTAAAGAATAAAAACCTATTTGGGAACCGTTATGGTCTTCATGCTCTTTAGTAATTTCTTTATGAGCTCTTGGAATCAAATTTTCTGAATATTCATGAAAGTTAAATTCATTAAAAAGCCAAATACATAATTAACGGTAACTTTTTGCCCATAAATACCTAATTTTTCCACGATTGCTTTGTTCTTCACATATATTTCATTCAATTCTCTAATGTCGTTACCATCATAAATTTCACGCGCTTCCTTAATTAGGGATTCCATAGTGTTATATGCTGCGGCGTCAAATTTTGTAGTGTCTGCAATTATACAACTTCTTCGTAAGAAATATTACTAATTATCAAAGTAAATGTTTTAGATGTTTAATTTCGCGGTATATATATACGTAATTATAAATTGGTATTGATAAAAAGGAAATTGCAACATATCACCTGATTATTATTTATATTATTATTTATTGGTTTATTTCCTTTTTTAATTTCGACGCCCACCTGCACGAACTAAAAGTTCATTGAAGCACTGTCACACCTAGTGATTTGATTTTCTGGACTTTTTTTAGGTAAGAAGGTATACAAAATTTTTGTTTCAAGTAAAGTTAAAAAAATAATAAACAAGATATATATTTGTTATAACTAATAAAATAAAAAGGTTTTGACAAAATAAAAATATTAAAATCAATAATGCGGCTATACTAAAATATTTATACCGTTTATTAATAAATCCGGTGTTCATTCAGAAACAAATTTTCAAAAAAACAAAGGGATTTTTAACTTGCTTTAGCTATAAAAATAAAATGCATAAATATCGCATTTTTTCTACATATTTAATTAGAATTACAAAGTTTAAAAGGCCGTTTTCATGAAAGTCTGTTTAATAATACGTAAATTTTAGCACAAAATGCTCAATTATGATTGGTTAATGTTGGGCAAACAAAATCAGTAAATATGCATTTTATAATACGTACGTACATATGATACCGTATTAAGCATTACGTACGTATTATGTACTCCAGATGTATTTTTGGATAAACTACTATTCTGCGTAAACGCCATAATCTTGGCACTCACGTTGTGAAAAATTAGAATGCATATGAAAGTGTGCTCTCACCTTAGTTCACTATCCAATATATACTCTCTGAATTCGACCCTAATAAAGAATACATAAAGCTGCATTCTTTTCTAAAATAAATGCCTAATAATTATGAAATACGAGTTTCCTACTTTTCGTCAGGTTTACCATTTTCTCTTACGTCCCTTAAACCGTCAGGCTAAACGTTCAAATTTGTACGTTTAAATTTTTAGAAAACAATTGAATTTCAAAAAAAAATTTATTTTTAATAAAATCTCTATTCTAAATGGTTGTGGTGACTTTCAGAAAATCAAACCACATGGCACACTTCACAGTTGCAGCGTGAAACACTTCATGTGGCCTAAACAAAAAGCAAAACTTTACATGATGGCCACGAAGTATTCTTTGTGACCTGAAGTTTGAACCGCCATATCTCCGTAGCATTAGCTCAAAAACCAATTGTGGATCATGAAAATCTTTGATCACCTTAATGTTAACACCCTTGTGCGGCGACCTTATGTTCGTGAAACGTATTTTTTCTAAATATGCACATAACGCCCGGATTAGCTAATACTATCCTCCATTTATAGTAAAAACATGGATTCCCTTATGTCAAGAAAATCGATGTACAAAAATTAGCTCGGAGCCAATAAAAATTGCAGAATCTTGCAGAT